AAATAACATAGAAGTTACAGCGGGTAAATTTACTACTGTTACACTGAATGACTTTGTTGTTCCATTCAATTTGAGTTACAAAACCAGTGACATCTTACTGCATGCTGAAGAAAATAACCACTCTCAGAAATTCTCGGGAAAGACTACCAACCTCTTGGTTTTATACAAATGAATGACATTAATATGAGTGAATATATCAAATATTCAGACCAAAAATATTCTCAAATACAGAAATTGTTAAGAAAATGCAGTACGAAGAGTAGGATAAACACAAGAGAAACTTGAAGCTGAAAATAGTGTTTTATCAGCCGTTAAAGAAAGATTTCCGCAGCTGATGCCCATCTCAAGCAAAACGGTTTATTTCCATTTGTTCATGGAAGGCCAGATTCTTGGGTGCTGCTGCATTTCTTCTGAAAAACTCATCCAGGTTCTTTGAAGAAGCTATTTTTCTGGTGCTACTACCTCTATGTCAAGCATTAATTCTCCTTTAAATAATAATAAAAATATCTAAGCCATCTCAAAGTGTGCTGAATTTGAAACGAGGCAACAATTCTTGGATGGCTTTAAAAAAAATAATTTTAAAAAAAAATTAACTGTCAGTTGCTGTGGTTGAGTTTTGTTAGCATCCTGGGGACCGCAGCTATCTTAGGTAACAAATATACTGAATTTCCAAAGACACGGAAAGCATCCAGCAGTTTCTTTGTACTCGTGCAGTATGCCGATCTCCTCTTCATCCCCCAGAGGAAAGGTATCAAGGATAAGAGTACTCCAAAGTTCTCCTCCATGTCCAAACTTAGGTAAGCTGAGCTCCCGTTTCCCCAAGGAAAAACCCTCCTCTGTGAGTAGATCAACTTGAGCTTCTCCTTGCCTAACACTCAGTGGACTTCAAAGCACAGAATCCACTTCTCCAACCCCTACAGAAGGACCGCCACTGCACGGAGCAGTAGCCAGCCTTTGCTCCCCTTCTTGCTTGTTCCCCTGTACCACTGGTATCACCGCTGCATCTCCCAGACACATCTTTAGACTACCATCCATGTGGTCACCACCCAGCAGTGAACCAGAGACTCTTCATAACCTCTTCCTCCCTCCGAGCCTGGTGGCTGAGCTTCTCATAGGGAACGTGGCAGCCCCCGAACGACCTTAATGAAACCAGGAATGTAAATCCTTAATTGTTGACACCCCAAGTAAACAGCCTCATCACTGAATTAAAGAATTTAACTCTGTCTCTCACCATCTCCTCCTGGTGCTGCTTCAGTCAGTGTATACATGACTAAATCATAACTTATCTCACTGTATATATGACTAAATAACTGATCTGAGAAGAGCCTGACTCTACGGACAGTGAATGAGACACTGATGCAAAATGTAGAAGAGACAGATTAAAATTCCTCTTCTAATCTATGTTTATTTATTTGTATAGTTTACATTTATTTATTTGTAAAAGGTGGAATAGCTTCAGTATGGTATTATCATTAAAAGTAGAATAGTCCCTCATTCCCAGAGGAGGTACTTGAACTTCAGTCTCTGACACGTCAGATGACTGCTGCTGTCAAAAATCAGCACTTCCCACCACAGAGAATTTCAGTAGAAAAGTTCTGTTTTAACAAAACAACAAACCTATGCAATATTCATTTCTTACCATATTCATAGGAAGTTGCCATGCTTTTTTTTTGTTTTAAATATCTTTCTAATATGTATCTGTTACAATTTAATTAAGTTTTCTTACTGCCTTACTGCTTTACATTGTCACATCTTTTCCTACCGTGTTTTAATATATTTACACATATCTGTCTCTCACATTATATACACTTTTCTCCCTCCTCCTTTTCATACAATCTGTTCTCTATCTCATCACTTGTTTGTTCTCTTCTTCTTTCGTATTTCAAAATCTTTTACACAACCAAGGTTGAACTTCTGAATTAACACATTAATCCTACCTCTTCATATAAAACCTTGTAAGCTACTCCTGACACCTATAACACAACAGAATTTGACATAAAAGATGGAAGGAGAAGTATTACCTACCGGAACCACCCAGATGAAAAGAAAAAACACATTTCTAGCTACTTAAATTCCTACCAGGATATTTCTCCTTGGATCTTTTCTTTCCAATGCGTATCAGCCCCAAGTCACTAGAAGCATGATAAATTTTAAGCCTTTACGTTGCTCCCTTATTTCATACATGCTTTAAGAGAAAAGTTGTTGTGTTTTTGATTTTGTTTTTCTTTTTTTCTCTCAAAAGTGTTACACCAGAAAGAAATAGTTCCTTTTCTTCCCTTAACTTCCTGGTTAGGAGAGCAGTATCAGTTCATCCTGCTCGATCCACTGCTCACTGGTAACTTCAGCTTTTACATCCCCGTTTTCAGTTTTTCCAAGAAATAAACAGAAACTTGTTTGTGGTAGTCTCATCATTCTCCGCAGGGAAAAGCAGTAGAGAAAAAGGTACAGTTTTGACCCACCTAGAGGGTTTTTTTTTGTTTGTCTGTTCGGTTTTGTTTTAAGGAAAACAGAGGTGACATTTCTGAACTAGTTTTTGCACAAAAGACGTTTGAGCACTAGTTTTTACATTTTAATTTTTTTAAAAAATGAAAACCTAGTCTCCAGCAAATATTTTAAGCTACCTGCACGTGTTTCACACTCACAGCAGATCGGCAGAATTTTCAAATCCTAGATACTATTATCCACTTCAAATTCACATAGCTTATTAGGAAAAAAAATCTATGTTCTCTTGTCATCAGCACTGTAATCTTATGCTTTGATAAGGTCTGCTGGTTTCATTCAAGGATGAGACCTCTTCATAGAAGAAACAGTGGAAGATCAAGGAAAATAATTCCTTACTTCAAACAGGCAACATCATATGAGGAGTTATCACAATTTTCATTCAGGCCATTTTCTGTCTAGACCAGTCATTTTCATTTCCTAAGAGACAGAAGTACCTAAATCAACTAGAGGATTGAACACCCGAAAACCCAGGAAAGGATGCAATTTTTATTATTATCAACTAAAATTGGTGTCCTTATACTCACTCTACCATAATTTCCTGCATTTGGAAGGGTAATTTATATGATCTGTACATGAAGTAGACATGATATCAGCATGTAACTATCTGCATTCTCGTTTTAGGCACAACATAATGATTCCAAATACCTTCAGTGGGGTTCGACTTCCATAAAATACTGCCTTATCTGACCAGACATACATCCAATTCCCACCACGGTGATTACAGGATATGAAAAATCACAACACATTTTAATCTTCATTTTGCATGAAAAAAAATAATTGCAAATAGTATGTGTTCTAAACATGTAGTTCATTTACCAGAATTTTAAGATGCACAAAAAGGGAGAGTGGCTTTTGCAGTACCTGGAATTACTCAACTACAGAGAACGACAAATTTAAAAACCATGCTAGGAAAGAAGGAAGTCAAAGGTAAGAGCGCAAAGTCTGATGTCCCAATGTGATTCCATTTTTTAAAAGACATTTATTCATCAAACTCTGGGTTTTTTCCTGTCTTTTTTAAAGAAGCTTTCAAAATGCAGAAATACATAATCTGTTTATAAGGATAACAACCATCTGAGGGAACAGAGGTCTGATCTCTGTCACACTGGCACAATCATTGTGTGAAATAAAAATAACAAAACACAAAAAAGACTGTAACTCTCCTCTACTAGAAATACTCTCTTAAATATTATCATTCAATTTAGGGATAGTATCCCAGTTTTAAATGCTCAGCCTCTCATGTTAGCCAAGACAGCAGCATCTCTAGAAAAAAACCCAAAAATGCAGGCATGTAACCACCGCTGTGAAAATTCAAGTAGGTACACCTTTTTGGGTTTCTTGGGAAAGGTTTGGCAACTTGCACTCCAGAAATTAACCTGCTACACTGACTTACGGTACACCTATATTACACTCAATAACCCTAAAGTATTTTTTGTTCTGCCTCTGAGTCTTGATTTAAAGTGAACAAAAATATTATAAGGTGGTAAACATCACTTTCACAAGACTAGATTTCTTTTTCACACAAAATGTAGTCTGGTGCTTTGTTAGTGAATTATACAAAACCAAAATAATGTAATGGCCCAATGTTTTAATATGTTTCCTTTCTTTCTTTTATTAGAAAAAAGGAAAACATGTTCGAAGAGAACCATTTTCTATACTGAATACTTCAAAGCCATCTGCAAAAAATTCAACTTCATTTAGCAAAACGTGCAATAATCACAGCGACAACACTGGTATTTAGAGTAGAACATTAGCTTAGCTTGGTAAATAGAATAGAAATAGCGAGCCTTAAATAGGTTTTTTTAATGTTTACAACGGGAAGTTTCATTTAGGTAGCAAGATGCAAGAGATGAATTACACCTACAAAGTTCCCGTGTTAAAAACATTACACAAATTGTGCATTGTCTCTCACGTAGATGTTAATGTAACAAAACAGTGTCCATAAAATGTAGATGTTTTTTACTGTCAAGTATTGATAGGTGAATCAGAATGAATCAGTATTCAGTGCAAAACTGAAAAAGACTGTGCCTCTAATAAATTCAGTACAAGCCTAGCAAAAAAGCCTGCTGTTATGATGAAAGCTCATGTTATCATGAGATTACAACAGACGTTGAGTGAGAATACGTACAAATTTAATGAAATGTAAAAGAAAACACTTCAAATCATAACAAATTTCTGTAGTGCCTTCTATTGCATCTCATCGCCTGCTAAGGGCTCTTGTCACGTTAGCTGCCATATTAAACTACATGGCAGTGCCGCCACAACAACACGACACACAACTACAATTTCCTTTACCGTAAGAGAGAAACTCGGTTCTATTAGAAAAAAAGTTCTGAAAAAAAACCAAGCGAGTATTCCCACCATAAATAAAATGCTGATATTGATCTTTTGAACACTGTTTAACAAATTAAAACATCACGGAGGTCTTCATACAGAAGTACACACACACACGCGCGCGTGCACAAGCACACACAACCATACATATGTGCGCTTTCACTTACCTCAACAGCTCTCTTTATATACGGTATCTGCGTGCCACTGTCCAGATCTTCGTTAATTATAAGTCTCCTAGCCCACTGACCCGCTCTGACAACGCCATTACCGTGAATTAGCACCAACAGCTTATCAGGATTTGTTAATGCGTCTTCACTCATGAATATAAAGCTCTTTGGTTCACTCTCAGTCGCATCAACCTGCAATCACAGACAACACACACTTTTATGCATCAATAAATTTTCTTAAAAAAGAACATCTGTAGTTATAAAGTTAGCCACCTAATTGATACAAAAACTTCCACCGTTTAACAGCTATTTGTATCCATATTGTAAGGAATAATGTGTGCCCAGTACTAACTAAAAATAAAGCAAAAGCTAGTGTCTGTGCAACGTAACTTCAGAATCACAAAAACATACCGCAGCTTAGAACAGTAATCCAAGGGACATTTAAATCAAAAAAAGGGGTAAAAAGTATGCTAAAACTTTGAAACATCAGTTGTTTACAGAAATTTACTGGCAAAAAAGAAAGTCCATAAAAGAACAATTTCGGGGTGGGCGTGGGGGAAATCAAGTAATTTGTCACCTCTGATACGCCTGAAGCAACAATAAAAGTCTTCCATAATATGAAAAAAATCCTAAAGAGTTCCACCTCGGCCACCTCAACATAAATAGCCAATAAGCTGCATATGAACCAGTGTTGTAAATCTGCCTATTATAAATTTAATAGGATAGGCCTAATAAAATATAGAAATCCAGTTTGGGTCTAAATAACAGCATCATTAAGAGTCCTGCACCTGTGCCAGCGCTCAGCTGCTTTGCTACAGGAACAGACCAACAACCGGCTTTGATACTCAGAAAACCACAATCTAATTCCAAGTTTTGCCCTTACTCTAGAGAGTAAAATACCACTTTTTGTTCAAGGAAAACAGAAGTTCTATAAAACAGGTCTACACTTGGTTTGGCAAGCCCGGCTCAAGGAAGAAGAACTGTGCCGGTGTAAACACTGTGAGGACAGAAAGAAACACTCTGTCTACTCATTCTTCCCTTTCTACCATGTGAATATGTAGAGAAGGAAGAACGGGACAGGCAAATCGCCCCGTCCTACTGAACTCCACACCCTACCACCTGCACAGGCTCACGGTGCATCTCCAAGTAACAACCCTGGACCATCTCATGCTCCGCAGCAGCGACAAAAAGCACGTCAGGACATCAGCCATACGTTGAGACAGGAGGAACAGCCCTTTAGATTATGTCATTTTTTCTCTCCTATGTGGACATGTATTCTTAAATTACCCTTTCTTTAGGAAAAATTAATTCATTGTGAACATCCAGACTTTTTGTGATGCGAGTCCTACCTAATATTCTTTTAATGAAGTCAATGAGACTACCTGAGCAAGAGGAATTCCTAACTGGAAGAACAGTCGTGTCTCTCTTCAGCCTCTGCCATCGCTCCAAAGACCTTATTTCCTTCCTCCAAAACGACGTCACATCTCACGTGCCTCAGCTTCCTCTTTCTACACCAGGAAATGCACTCACCTTCTCTCACACTTTGTGTGAAAATAGAAAACGTGGTAAAAAATATCTTCTATTGAAAGAGTTTTGAATATGTAAGTACAACGGGTGTGACACTGGGGATACAGTCAGGTCACATTGCCGCTTCTGAAGTAGCGGTGCTAACACCTTAAAATTTAACATGGCTTAGGTAAAAAGTCAGACAACACTAAATCTCAGACAGTACCTGGTAAGATGCCATTGACTTCTGCACATAAACTGAGTACTTAGGATACTGGAATTAAGATAAGACATTGTGAACTTGTATTTCAAAGTTATACATTAGCTCTAAGTTTTAGCATTTATAAACTAATTTTTGTTTAGTATTTAGGAAATACTAGCACTTAGCATCCTGTGTACTAGAAGATATAACTTGTTCATACTTCTGCAAAGATGTCTGATTTTTTAAAGCATTAAAAATATCTACCAAGATCATAAAAAACAACACTTCATTCTCTTCCTCAATCACACTTGGAAACTTTTCTTCAAGCTAATTTATTTTCAAACAGTAGTAATTCATTAGATCAAGTGCTCACTAAAGAATGCACATAAAGGTCACTCCTGTGCACAACCTTACCTTATTGACAAATCAACGCAGAACACCATTCAGTGCTAGACACACCGAGTCTGCATAAAATAATTCGTATTTATTAGCCACTTTCTCTTCTGGACCTACTCATGAGCACTTATTTCTGATCTTTTATTTAAACACAAATCAAAGAAATTCAGTAAAACGCTGAACTTCAATTAGTTTAATTTTACAATTTGATTCAACATTGTTATTCACATGCAATAATAATCTTCCAATAATATGTAGCTAGGAATGTCAAACCGATCTGAATTCTGCTGATGATTTACTGTTTCAAAGTACCGTTTAAAGTTTAATTTTCCTCTTCTCAGATTTATTTTTCCAACGCAGAACTACACCTTAAGGTTTATGAATGTAGGCAGTTATGGTGAATTTTCTGAGTTATGTACTCTACATGCATTACGATATTCTTAAGGTTTTCAGGCAGTGAATTAATTTTTCTGTATGAGTTCTATCTCACACGAGCCATCCCCTAATACAGTAGTACGAGTCTACAGGAAATTTCAGTAGCATACTAGTTAGTATTTTACACAGTTGCTAACAATATAAAGGGTAAGATCAAACTATACTTGATATCTAATCTTACTGACCTTCATGCTACCACATCAACATTATGACTCAATTCCCAGTTCTCGGCCATTACCAACCCAAGATGCACGAGACCCAGCTAGGCTCTAGAGGTCTTCTATTTTGTACATTGGAAGTTTTTAAGTTTCAGATTGAACACTGAATTTTTAAGGGGGGAAAATATCCATGAATATTTTTCTTATTGCAGTTAAGAAACACAATAAAAAATATGAGCCTAGAGCCTACAAACACGTGAAACAGGTGTAATTTGTGACAGGAGGAAAGAACGTGGCAAATAAATGGAACTGAAACCGAGAAGACTCAAAAAGATTGTGAGAATTGTGAGCAGCTGGTGGAGAGAGAAAACTGCTCATTTGCTTCGCAAGAGAAGAAAGTCTTCTGTTATGTGGCTCTACATGAAGCTCGCTAACTCACTTATGTTACAGTCTTCACAATATTGAATATCCTGATTTATACTTTTTCACTCAAAACTGTAAAAAATGAAAACTGCTGATCAACCTACAAGCAGATAATTAGCATTTGGTGACTACCACAACTAACTTAACACACCTAAAACTAGTAGAATTTTTACAAAACAAGTATTGACTGCATGTAAGTAACAAAATGGCCAAAAGGAACATGCAGTGGAGATAAGAGACCATTGATTCTGAAAGAAAAATATTCTTGGCTGTCTAGTAGAACTCCTGAATGAAGTTTTACCTATTGAAGTGAAAGAGCAAAGCACTGATAAGTCAGAAGACTCTGCAAAGTGAGACCTTACAGTGCCATCGTCAATAAAATATGTTAGTGATTATTTAAACTTCCATCACAGGCCTTCCCAGAAGCTGTTAAAGATGCATTTAATTCAGAAGCACCCTCTATTTGTCCTCAACAGCTAAGAACAGCAAAGATCAATCACTGATTATGCCATTAAAACTAGAGAAATACAAAGACTTCATCTAGATAAAAAAAATTGCAGTCCTCTTTATATTCATAATACAACCCGTTCAACGGAGCACAAAATGACAAATTTAAAAGAAATAATTGAACGCCGTCTCCCTGAATATGAGTCTCTTCATTTAAATTTTCAAGTCCGGTAGTGTATGTTGAACATTAGGAGAACTACAATACTTAACAGTAACAATAATGCAATATGCATCTCAGCCTCCCTGTGAAGGAAAAAATGTTCGGATTTACGTTTTGTCAGAGACACTGACGTAATAAAATAATGGTCGAGCTTTCCTGATTTCCAAACTGCTCTTATTTTCATGTCTGAAAAGAAATTTACAAACAATTGTGTCCAAAACTGAAGCTGCTACCTGAGAAAGCAAAATAAAGACAGCAAGTCGGACTTTGCGCATGAGGTTGAAATTATGAAAGAGAGAACATGATATAGTGTCATCCTAAACCTTTGAGCCACAGCGTTTCTGTACACTACTAAAATCATGCTGGAAAAAAAAAGCACTCTGCTTAAAGTCCCGAGACACGTCTCATATATTCAAACATCATTACACTGTCTACTTCATTGTCAGCTGACAGAAAGACGAAAGCCAATACACCAACTTTCTGATCACCTGTGACAAAGTTCAGAAAAAAACCATGTTTTCCTGTTCATCTCTAAAATTTTCATGTAATAAGGTCATACTCATAAAAGCAGCCATCCTGGTCAGACCAAGGTCCCAGGGTCCCGTTTCTGACAACGGGCAGATGGCTCAGGGGAACAGGATGAGAACAGAGAGGTTACAGTGATTCTTCCCTGGTTTTGGCAACCAGTAACTTTGGAGCCTCCCCAGCCAGAGTTTACACCCTGACAAGCACGCACCATCGCTCAGTGCGCCCATCCCACCTTCGTACTGTCAGATGGGTGTTTTGAATGCATTTATTCCTGTCTGCTAGGTAGTATGCTGTGGCAATGAGTTCCACAATATAATTGGGATGTATATGAAATAGTACTACCTCTCTTTCAGTAGCGATCTCCTGACTGATAATTTAAACTTGATGCCCCTTAGCTTCTCTATTATGAAAAAAGCGTAAAACCATTCCCTATTCATCTTCTCTACACCTTTCATGATTTTATAGATTTGTCATATTCCTTCCTCAGTCATCTATTTTCCAAGCTGAAGAATCTTTGTCTAATCTTTCTTTGTCTGAAAAGCATTTCATGCCTGTGATCATCCTTGTAACCCTCCTCTGTACTTTTTTTTTTTTTAATTCTTCATATCCTTTTTGATATGGTGTCCAGACTCCATGCAGTGTTCAAGATGGGGGCCCACATAATGAGTGGAATGACCATGTTTTTCTGTTTTGTTCTCAACACCTCATAATTCCTAACATCCTATTTGCTTTGAGGGTATTTGACTGCCATTGAGCACTAACTGATGTTCTCAGAGAACTATTCACAATCACTCCAAGCTCTTTCCCGAGTTGTAATAGCTCATTTAGAGGCCACCATTGTGTTTACAGAGTGAGTTATTTTCCCCATAATTTCACATTTACTAGAACCAAATCTTGTGTCATTTTACCCTCCAATCATTCAGCATCATGAAATAATTCTCCCAACTCATCATAATCAGCTTTAGATTAAAGTATTCTAAATAACGTCAGAAAAAACCAGCAAAGTTTGTTAGCTTCTATTAATTTTTTTCCCTTTTATTCAGAACTATGTCAGCACAGGCCTTAGTAACACTGCACCAGTAACAACTTACTTAATCTGAAAAATACGAACATGCTTTTTTCCTTTTTAACCAGTTATTAACTCATAAGGGGACTTCCTTCTCCTATACCATGACAGCGTCTTTTTTAAAGGCATTTGGTAAGCTTGTTGACAGCTTGCTGGAAATCCACGTACTCTCTTACTGACAAGATCTTTCTTTTTCATGTGATCCCTGGCTCCCTCAACGAATTCTAGAAGGCTTTTTTATCAAGAAACCTGTACTGACTTTCCCCCCAATATATTATTTCCTCCTGGTACACAGGAATCACTATGAATCACTCCTGGAGGCCTTTCAAAGACTATCACTTTTACTCTTTTTCCATTCCTCTGATGAGAATAGCTGATTTCAGCAGTAACTTACATGTTAGCTGGTTGTTCTGCAGCTTCATATTTGACTTCTTATAGTACCCAGGGCTTAAAAACCATCCCATCCTGCAATTTGATTATTGTATGATATATCAATTTGTTCTAGGATCTCCTCTACTGATATGTCGAATTTCAGCCTGTTCCTCAGAATTATATCCTGTTTGAAAAAATTTAATAACATTCCAGTGTGGAAACTGGTCAAATAACACTGGAAATAGCCATGTTAGTTTTTCTCATCTGAGCTGAGCATTCCTTTTGCATGCAGCTCATCTATCAGCCTCATCAGCTCTCTTTTATTATTAGCCTTTACAGCTGTTACAAGCTCCTCAAATTCAGTTTTGGGTGATCTTACTGTGGTTTTGTATGTAACTCACTAGCATTTATACTCTTTTCTCTTTTCCTCACTTGAACACAACTCACTCCTGCTGCAAGCTGTCTTATTACTTCTATTAGTCTCCTTTACTAATTGAAACTAAGTTTCTTGGTGGTGTTACCTGGGAGTCTCGTCAGTGGTGATTTAAACATAGCCTTTAGACAGACTTAATTTTTCACCTTCTACATACACTGTTTCACTTTTGTAGTCCTCTTCATAACCTATTTTTGACTGTAGTGAGGGCTTCCTACACATAATAGTCATTACTGAAGAACGGTGCTCGTACCTTGTGCCAAATTTCCCACACTGCTCAAAATTAAACAGCTGCATATATTTTGTGAGTTCTTACTTTGCTCCAAAACGCAATTAAATTATGACACTTTGCAGAAGCTGGAAGTAATACATTTGAGACTAGCATAAATGTACTACTGACAAACTACATCAGTACATCAGTGATTACTACATAATTTATAAGCAAGAGTAAACACAGATTAATTCAACAGCGGGAGTTAGACGGGGCCACTCTTCTCCCAAGCCAGACACCCAAACCTCAAAGCTGCGCAGAAGAGCCCCCACATGTGTGACAGAGGTGATGGAGCTGTTGTAATACTTATTCCAAGTTTGTTCATACTCGTTTTTAAAAGCTAATGCATCAGCCTTTGCATTGCAGTACTTACAGGCATGTTGCTTTTTATGAAGTACCTTCAAAGAAAGTCGTATGGCCTCAAAATTCAGGCACTTGAAAGTGTACAAATGCCAGGTTCCTGGCTTTTCGGAGAGAGGGTGACACGTCTTGGGGATGTCTTTCGACACATCAGCTGTCGGAAGTGCGGAGGTGAGCTGCTGCTCTCTCTCCGACCGCTCCATGCAGCTCCTAGCACAGCTCCTCCTGCCCTGACCAGGAGACACTGGCAAAGCCTGGTTGGGAAACCTTGAGCAGTTTGGGCCAGTTATCAAAACATTCCCTAAACACTGCCACTTAGAGAATGGAAATGGGAACTGGGAAACATTACAGAACTGTTAAAATACAGGAAATTTTCCTTCCTTAGCCCAAACAGGTTTTCCTCAACTGATTCTGATGGACTGACTGAGATCAACAGTAATGCAAAAGCTTCTCTAAGAATCCTTTATGATAGTGATGGAACCTACATGGTGCTGTCATGCTACAGTCTCCCCTACGCACTCCACCGTAGAATATAAAATTGCCCAAATGTCATCGTCATATCACATGTATTTATAAATCCTCATACATGTTCTCTGGGAATGCTTCATCACTTCCAAGGGCGGATTAAATATTTTCACTAAACAACAGCAGCACCTTATATTACATACATATCACAAGTTACTGAAAAAGAGTGTTTTAAAAAAAGACCTGGAATAGTTTACTGAAACTCAGTTTGAGTTTAATTCTCTGCCTGAAAAGGCAGATCTGATGTGGCTGATGGTTGGACTTGATGATCTTAAAGATCCCTTCCAACCCAGACAATTCTATGATTCCATGATTTGTTGTCTACAACCACCTGTACGGGTGTCAAAACATTCATAATCCAACAATTCATAATCCTTTATAATTTAACAATTCATGATCCGAGGGCTGGAGCACCTCTCCTATGAGGAGAGGCTGAGAGAGTTGGGGCTGTTCAGCCTGGAGAAGAGAAGGCTCCGGGGAGATCTTATTGCGGTCTTCCAGTCCCTAAAGGGGCTCCAGGAGAGCTGGGGAAGGACTTTTCACTGGGGCATGGAGTGATGGGATGAGGGGGAATGGCTTCAAACTGGAAGAGGGCAGGTTTGGATTAAACATTAGGAAGAGATTTTTCACTGTGCGGGCGGTGAGCCCTGGGGGCAGGTTGCCCCGAGAAGCTGTGGCTGCCCCATCCCTGGAGGTGTTCAAGGCCAGGTTGGACGGGGCTTGGAGCAACCTGGGCTGGGGGGAGGTGGCCCTGCCCATGGCAGGGGGTTTGGAACTCGATGATCTTCAGGGTCCTTTCCAACCTAAACAATTCTATGATTCTATAAATACTTTTCAAAAAGCTTATGGTTCCTCTCTCAAAATTACCACATTTTGGAAGTTCTGGTACTGGGTAAGGCAAGGAAAGCCCAGCTGGAGAAACTACACACATGAGAAGTGAAGTGGAAGCATGTCTCCAGATGCACTCACATGCTGCATGCGAAGGCAGTGTCTGGAGACAATGGCCTGCACAGATCCAAACAAATAATGTCTTTGGGAAACAAAAAATAAATTATACTTACTGGGAGAGTTACTTTCTTCAAGTGGCATTCCTTTTGCAGTAGTTCATAAACATACTTAGTAATGATCTGGAAGGAAAAACAAACAAAAAAAAAGATAAAAAGAAATGCAAACAGACACTAAACCACTTACAGTAATGACATATCCAGGCAGACAACTTAAAGGCTAGCTGGTTGAACTTCTACGTGCTTGTATATGTTTTGCCACTTATCTGAATTCTTTACTATACCACTAATTATAGAACTCGGAGTGCTATACTAAAAGGTCTTCTCTGTCCCTCAGAAAAGGCTGCTTGCCAGCACAAAGAAATTGTAACTGTACCTGTGAATCCATCACGTGCTGCTGTGTGAATAATTATGTGCCTCAAAACTAAGGATTATAACCAATTAATATATACTCAGGGGTACAAGAAAGACTCTCTTTTGCAAAGGAATACTTTAAAAGCATTTTTTTTCCATAAGCAGGACTCTTGAAACCCTCTCCCCTGCAGGTTCACTTCATGAGCTACATGGAGAGCAGATCTTTAGTCACCCTCAGCACAAGTTGCCTTGCCATTTCTATTCACTGAACAGGGGAGGGATGGGTCAAAGGTTTCTAAATAGAAGAAGAACCCTGACTGATTCCCCTCTATGGGGGAGTTTAAGTCTCTTGTCTCCATGTAGAAATAAAATTGAAATTTTAGACCTGAAACAAAAGGAATTATTTCAAAGAGCAACCAAAAAAAAAATCAACCTAGTCGCAACGAAAGACTTGCCGTCTCAAATGTAACAAAGTTCACACTTCAAAGGCTTGCCTAATATCTAGGGAAATTTTTTTTCACCCTTATATATTCTAAGAAAAATGGAGATGGAGATGTAAGAACTTTCTAACTATTATTAATTTGGGAATTAAGCTGAGGAACAAACTAAAGTGCTTTGTCCATATGGGGCTGTAAAAATGGTTTGGAAGTAACTGCCTGGAATTCACTGGCTACAGAAGTTAAAAAAAAAAGAAAAGAAAAAAAAAAGGCAAATTAAAGACGAAAAAAAAGTGCTCATTAAGAGCCTCAAATGGTGCTTGCCTTCCCTTTCAAGCTCGGGGAACTATGTTTAAATTCCAGGCAGGACAAGTTCTAAGTCCCAAAATATTAATCCAAGAATATCCGGGTACAAACCCAGCTGGTATTCTTTAGTCCAACCCCTCAAGGCCACAATTACAGCCATCTGAACCCACAGCATATTAAGCCACAACAGAAACGTCGCTGTAACAAAGCTCTCAAGCGATGGCGTCTTAACAACACACCATGAACCAGGCAAGTAGGAGCCAGGGTATCATAAACTTCAATTTTAATTTTCCAAATGCACAATTACCAAATAAAGTTTCAATGAAGTCCAAAAGTTTTCATTACGTACATGTGAGCAAACACAATACGCAAACGTTTGGAACACATTTGAGCAAATTAGAGGTACTGATGAAAGCTAATTAAAAATGTTGGCGCGTGCCCCTCCCTTCCTTTCACAAAACCCCCAAATCTGTATTAGGATTATGTGAATTCTTTGCTACCCTGCTCAAATATGTTTATTGATAGAATTCTGTTCAAAAAACTTTATGGTTTTAAAGAAAATCAGTCTTACTGAACATTACTATCTACAGGGAAACTGCACTTGGAGAAGGAATTTAGCTGTGAGCGATGAGTTGATTTAAGACATGTTTATCCCCAAAGCAGTATGTTAGGAACATGCACACAGTGTAATTTTACCTTCAGGGCCAAACTTTTTATGGTTCACCGAAATCAACTTCAGTGTAATGCCAACAAGTAAAGCAGTTAAGTTCCTGCAGCCTCAGATGCTGATCTTGTACAGACACTAAAATGAGTATAATGATAATATGGCCTCAAACATACAAATTTTATTTTTCACTCTAAATCCAGGCATCTACTAACCATCAAAAACACTAAAAGAACACTTGGAAGAGAAAAAAATTGCTATGAAGAGAATACGTTTTAGACACTACTTGCAAAAATCTACCCCTTTTTGCAGCTATGTGTTTGCATCTATTTCTTCTATTCTCTCTCATCTATTTCGACTGTGATATCTCCAGGGCAGAAGTAAACCTTTATTCATTTTTTCCACAGCCTGGCTCAATGGCACTCTGATCCTAACTGACTCTTCAGGCGCTACTCTAATATAATAAATAGACATATCAGCCTTAAAGATGGGGCTGTTAAATCAGTAGAGCTCTCTGGTAGAGCGAAGACTTAACCTAATGAATGCTTTTAATAAAAGTAAACATGAAGAAAGATATAGCAGGTTGGAGTCTCGGGTGCCAAGTGTGAGATTGTGATCCTCGGGCAGCTCAGCACCTGGATGGTCTCCATGGTTCAGAAAGACTTGAGGAAAAAGTGCCCCAGTACATGTAAGACCACAAGAAGGGGTTTTTTTTGGCAGCAGCAGATCAGCAAGTTCAGGGATATCCTAGCAATGGTTGGTTTGCTGCCAGCTTTGAGGGATGGAAGATGATAAACAAGATTTCTTGAAGTCCATCAAACCCCCAGATTTCCCAGATTTGCAAACATCACCACAATGGCCAGGTTTCCTGCACTTAGCATGGACGTGCATGGATGACCTAGCAAAACACTGTCCTACCCAGGAACATGGCTGCAAGTACTGAAAATGCTACAAATCCAACATTACTTTTGGAATGTTATGCTTTTAATTACTTCTTGTGATTTTACGGCTGATCTGTAATACTGAAAATTTAACTTCTAAAATATCTTTTCTGTAGGCATTGAAAAGAGAAGGGAACTGTGCTATATTATTTATACAGCACTAGTTAGACTTACTATTACAAATCTATGCCATTTAAACAGCCACAGCTTCTTTATGTAGTAGTATTAGCTTGTGCATGCTGGTATTTTATCTTTACGATCTGAAAACTGTTGTAGGAGGTTGGAAAGTGTCTTGTGACTTCTTGCATGAGAAGGTGAGCATCGTTACACTCTGCAAACTCTTTCGGACTAATCGTTGGTCATATGGTTGCTCATGACCGCAGGTATTTAATGACAGAGGCCGTTCAACCCAGTCCAGTGTAAATAACTCATCTGGAACTATCAAGCAACAAACTGCCCAGTACAAGCCAAGGCAAACTGTAGCACTCATTAGAGAGCCCTACTCGTGTTATTCATACTAACCTGGGATATTTATGCTTTGTCTAACTCTCTTGCAACTCTTAGGGGGTGCCAACACCGTAAGCAGTATGCTGCATTGCAATTCAAGGTAATAAGGTTGCTGGTGAGCAGGCAGCACCACATCTGAGATGGGAAAGGAAAAGAACAAATAGTACAACTTGCCCAAAGCGTGTGAAATTAATTGCCTGATGAATGGAGGTGAAAACAGTAGTTCTGTATTTCTTGTAGGAGACACCAGAAACTTCAACCCCATTTTACAGTACCTCTGGTCTTCACTCACTTCCAGGTGCACTCTATCAGGAAAACACATCCCAAATAGGGTATCGGAACTAAGGTGTTCTTATTGCCTGCTCTGAGAAATGGGGGGAAGAAACCAACAGAAATCCCCCCAAATTCCATGCCTCTCATCACTATTCCAATAGTAAGGGAGAAATCCTTTCCAACCACGAAAAGGTACTTAGCCTAACACTTCCACCCTCCAAAAAGGCTGTATGCAAACTGTGGGATAGGAGAAACTTTCTTCCCAGTACAAAGTGGTCCTCTTTGGAAGGAAACTAAATGGCTTCTACTTCAGTTTGCTCTCAATGAGCAGAGGAGCCAGTGTCCTGCTTTCTGTAAGCCTAATGATCTTCCACCCTAACTGAAGTCACAGCTTTTCTAGCTTTTGTTGAACTAGAGAAACTCCCAGAACAAAGGCAGGCTGACAAGAGAGGGACCACAGCCGAGTGGAACACGTCCTGAACAGTAAAAACAGTAGATTATCCTGGGCATATTAAAAAAATGAGTATCTAATCTCTGCTACTATTTACTCGTTACAGTTTTCCTTCATCTACTGTGGACAAGGTTGAGAGCAGCAGTACATATGGCTCAGGACAGGAACCAAACTTCAGTGCTCACGACTGCGCTTCTGAGGAGCTTAAAACAGTCAGTCTTATGACTTTTGTTGGATATAACAGTGTGAATACCTCCAGAATTACCTTTTCAAAGTGCTAATAGCCCCAAATATGACATCTGCAAAGTTCAATAGTCTTATGGATAACTGGGGGATAGACCTATGGCATGAACAGTGGTCCTTCATATGGATCCAGAACATAACCTAGTTTAATTTCAGAGAAATTAAATTTCGTGACTTGGTTGGACAGCAAAAAGGACAGAGAACACCACAGAAAGAAAGGAGAAACACATCATCTTATGACAGAGCTGACATTTTACCCTTCACCCTTCACTGCTAAATGTTCCGCACAATGGAGGCCAAGACTATACTGCTGCGTGCAGTCTGTAGAGCAAAACTGAAACTCCAGGTGGAAATGTAGTTCTGGTACACAAAACTCTAGTACACGTTAATTGGTACGGTCCTGGCTTCCTATGACTTGTGTTCCTTTAAGATTATATTGTTCATATAGAAGACTTTCTTCAGGACTGTTTTAAATTATCAAAAAGCATTGAAAAATTCTGTTAGCAGCATTATTTCTAAAATCTTTGCAATAGAGCATCCTGAAGCTACGTGATCAAAAGATCAGTACCTGCATACAACTATGTGAACAGAGAAATTAAAGACTAAGAACCATTGAGACCAATGTGTTTAATGTTACAAAGATCTGGAAGGCACTGAAGCCTAAACATAGAATCATAGAATGGTTTAGGTTGGAAAGGACCTTGAAGATCACCGAGTTCCAACCCCCCTGCCCTGGGCAGGGCCACCTCCCCCCAGCCCAGGTTGCTCCAAGCCCCGTCCAACCTGGCCTTGAACACCTCCAGGGATGGGGCAGCCACAGCTTCTCGGGGCAACCTGCCCCAGGGGATCACCACCCGCACAGTGAAAAATCTCTTCCTAATGCTTAATCTAAACCTCCCCTCTTCCAGTTTATAGCCATTCCCCCTCGTACTATCTCCCTCATCCTA